TTTGTTGGGAGATTATTACTGATTCAACCTCATTGCTTGTTTTAGGTCTATTCAAGCTTTCAATGTCCTCTTGAGTCAATCGTAGTTGATTATATGTCTCCAGGAATTTGTCCATCTCATCCAGGTTTTCTTGTTTGTTGGCGTATAGTCGCTCATAGTATTTGCTAATGATGTTTTGTGTTTCTGTTATGTCAGTTGTGATGTTGCCTGATTCATTGTGAATTTGATATATCTGGTTCCTTTCTTTCTTCTTAATTAGTCTAGCTGATAGTGTGTCAATCTTGTTTATCTTTTCAAAGAACCTGCTTTTGTTTTCATTTATTTTTCTATTTCATTTATTTCTTCTCAAATCGTTATTATTTCTTTTCTCCTGGCATTTTTTGGCTTTTTTTGTTGTTGTTTTTCCAGTTCCCTGAGGCATGATGTTAGGTTGTCCTTTTGCCACCTTTCCATCTTTTTCTTGTGTGCACTAATTGCTATGAACTTCCCTCTTATGACTGCAAAAGCAGTCATAAGAAACTGTGTACTCTTTATCATTTGTTTCCATGAATCTTTTGATTTCAGTCTTAATCTCTTCAGTAGTCATGAAGTCATTCAGAAGTAGGTTATTTAGTTTCCATGTATTTGTGCATTTTTGAGTTTTTTTCCCAAGATTAAAATCAAGTTTAATTCCATTGTGGTCAGTGAAGATGCTGGATGTAGTTTCTATGCTTTTGAATCTGTAAAGGCTGGTTTTGTGCCCTATCATATGGTCAATCTTCGAGAAAATGCCATGCGGGCTGAGAAAAATGTATATTTTGTGTTTTTTGGGTGGAAAGTTCTATAGATGTCTATCAAGTCCATCTGACTTATGCTGTCATTTATGTCCTGGATCTTTTTGCTTATCTTTTATCTTGTTGACCTTTCTAAAAGAGATAATGGGGTGTTGAGATCTCCAACAATTATTGTGTTATAGTCTATCTCTCCTTTTAGATCTCACAGTCTTTCATTTACATATTTGGGTACTCCTAAATTTGGTGCATAGATATTTATAAGCATTATATCTTCTTGATAAATTAGCCCTTTTACTACTATGTAATGCCCTTCTTTGTCTCCTCTTATGGTTTTTGTCATAAAGCTTATTTTATCCAAAATCAGTATAGTGAGTAGCAACTCCAGCTCTTTTCTGGTTTCCATGTTCATGAAATATCTTTTTCCAGCCCTTCACTTTTAGACTATGCATGTCTTTATCCATGAGATGGGTTTCTTGTAGGCAGCAGATGGAATGTTTCTGACTTTTAATCCATTCAGTCAGCCTATGTCTCTTGATAAGAGAATTTAATACATTAACATTCAATGTTGTTATCAACATTTCTGGACTTGTCCCTAAAATTAAGTTGGCCATATTCTTGGTTGTTTTTTATTCTCCTGTTGTTGTCTGTCTCTTTAGTTTTCTTGGTATAGTACTCCTTTCAGAATTTCTTGATGAGCTGGTCTGGAATTGGTAAATTCTATCAGGTTTTGTTTTTCTGAGAACGTTTCTATTGTCTTTTCCCATATGAAGGATAATCTTGCCGGGTATACTATTCTTGGTTGAAATTGTTTTTCATTTAACACTTTGAATGTATTTCCCCGTTCTTTCCTTGCTTGCACTGTATCCCACGAGAGATCCGGTGTTAGCCTAATGGGATAGCCTTTGTAGGTGATTTGACATTTTTCTCTTGCCAATCTTAGTATCTTGTCTTTGTCTGGTGTTTTGGTCAATTTAGCTATAATGTGCCATGGAGAGGATCTTCTTGGATTGATTCTACCTGGGGTTCTTTGTATTTCTTGGGTTTGGATGTTTGAATGCCTCTCTGGACTTGAAAAGTTTTCTTCCAGGATTTTGTGGAATAGATTATCCATGCCCTTCTTAGATTCTTCACCTTTTGGGATCCCAATTATTCAGATATTTGGGCATTTCATAGTATCTAGTATTTCTTGTATATGATGCTCAAGTTTTTTGGCTGTTTTCTGAGTTTGTTTTTTTTTTTTTTGAGGTTTTTGCTATAGGGCGCGTGCGCTCGCCAGACAGACAGAGAGAGACATAGAGACAGAAAGCGAGAAATCACCCCCCAGAGGGAATGGTCACGCCGCAATCCCTTCTCCTCCATTCTCCTCTCGGGATCTTGGGCATGCACGCACACGCACCCGGCGTGAGTTTTAAGCCACCAGGTCCGGGACGCGAACCGCGGTCTACTATGTGGGAGTCCAGTGACATAGCCATTACGCTAACTGCTGGTTCCCTGTTTTCTGAGTATTTTTGATATTTTTTTTCTAAGTTAGAAGTTTTGTCTTCTATTTCCAAAATTTGATCTTCTGCATGGTCTAATCTGCTTTTAATACTTTTGAGGAAGGTTTTAATTTCCTGTATTATAGCCTTCATATCTAACAGTTCTGTTTGGTTCTTTTTTATAGTGTCCAATTCTTCTTTCATGTCATGAAAGGACTTCCTCATCTCTTGGAGCTCAATGTCTCTTTTCTCTTGCATCTCATAGAATTTTGTTACCATAAATATTCTAAATTCTTTCTTTGACATTTCGATAATATCCTTTAGTTCCCTACCTGGAGACAAGTTACAGTGTTCCCTTGCTGGAGATATATTACTCTATTCTCTCATCCTTGAGGCTTTTTTCTGATTCTTAGTCATTTGATAATGTATTCACTTTTTCTTAACTTGTTAGAGAAGGATTATGAAACTGTGAGCCTGTGTGTTTCCTTACTGCAAAATAATTCAGTGCTATTTTCTCCCTTCTTCTGTGTTCTCCAGTGCGAAAAAACAGGAGTTTTGTAATTGGATTTATAACGGGAATTTTACTATTTTTGCAACCAGTACAGTGAGGTACAAAGAATTCCCTAAAGCAATGTTCAGAACTTATCTACTATGCATCTAGTAATCTCTAGTCAGTGGGTAAGGGCTTAGCAGTAAAACAGGAGTGTAAAAGAAAAAGTATAGGAAAAAGAGGGAGAGAAAGCAATGAAAAAGGAGGAAAGTACTAAAAGAAAAAGAGGAAAAAATTAAAAATTACGTTGCAGAAAATGAAATTGGGTTAAAAATGGAAAACAGTGCTTGCCATACCAAGGCCCAACCAGACAGAGGTGGAGGACCCTGGAGGCTTTCTATCCTAGATGAAGAAAGAGGTCAGTTAACATGAGAAAGGCACAAAAAAGGCAAAAAGCTATTTTTTTTTTTTTTAAGGAAGAGAAAAAAGTTAGAAGAGACAGAGCAGAACAAGAGGGAGACTTGTGTACCTGACTGGCACTGGGGTATGCGGGGGATCCCTGGCTGGGGGTGGGGGTAGTACTTTGCAGCCCTGAAGCTGAATGCCCAGAGGCTTGACCCAGACAGAGGCGGAGGACCCTGGAGGCTTTCTCTCTTGACTGGCACTGGGGTCTGCGGGGGAGCCCTGGCTCGGGGAGTACTTTGCAGCCCTGAAGCTGAACCCAGAGGTCTGACCCAGATAGAGGTGGAGAACCCAGGAGGCTTTCTATCCTGACTGGCACTGGGGTCTTTGGGGGAGCCCTGGTTGGGGCAGTACTTTGCCACCCTGAAGCTGAACCCAGAGGCCAGACCCAGAGAGAGGTGGGGGACCCAGGAGGCTTTCTGTCCTGACTGGCACTGGGGTCTTGAGGGGAGCCCTGGCTGGGGGAGTACTTTGCAGCCCTGAAGCTGAACCCAGAGCTCTTGATAGACTTTCAATACATGTTCTTGAAGGAGTTTAATTATATGCTAGCCTTTAAATTCTGAAAATTTCTACTTCTGTGTATGAAATCTACTTGCCTTCTTATGATTCTTTATTACCTCTTAAAATTCTAAGAGGTCTTTCAAAAATTAAAGCTGAGGACCAGAAATAACACAGATTTGTTGTGATTAAATATAAATATTACTAACATAGTCTTGGAATCTGCCCTGCCTAAGAAATAGGACATTCTAACACATTGGGATAGAGTTGGGGGGGAGGTCCCCTGTTCAAAAGCTCAGGGTTTTGTTTGTTTTGTTTTTTCTTCCCTGAGTGTTACTACTAATTAAGTAAAAAAAAAACTTAACTTAAAATATTGCAGTACTACAGTTTTCTGTTGAGGCATCTCATGTGTTTATGGTTCTCTCTCTCTCTATTTTTTTTTTTGAAGAGATTTTTTTGCTATAGGGCGCGTGCACTTGCCAGACAGACAAAGACAGAGAGATAGAAAGCGAGAAATCACCCCCCAGGGGGGATAGCCACGCCGCAATCCCTTCTCCTCCATTCTCCCCTTGGGATCTTGGGCACACATGCACACGCACCCCGTGTGAGTTTTAAGTCACCGGGTCCGGGACTTGAACCGCAGTCGACTACGTGGGAGTCCAGTGACATAGCCATTATGCTAACTGCTGGTCCCATGTTTTATGGTTCTAAAAGGCATTGCTAGATGAGCAAACATAAGTCTGCCTTAATGCTATTAAATTAACATGTGGCAACTGATTTATCAGTTGTGTATCAGTTTAGAATTCCAGTTCCTTGTTTGAATTTATAAAATAACTGAAAGAAATCAGAATATGAACATATATATTTAAATCTGGTCTCAGTTCATTATGGATTAGTAAAAAATTGACATAATATTAATGGAACGTTACAGTGCTTTAATTTCTTTTTCCTTCTGTTCCTTTATTCCTTCTCCCCTTCCTTTCCCTTCATTTATTATTCCAGGCAGAACAAATGTCAGATATTTGATTTGATGACTAATATAAATATATCTAGGCAATAAAGTTGAAAATCCCTATTTAAACATTCTTAATAGACTTCTTCATTGAAATTAGTATTCATTTTCTAGTTTATACCTTTTATAGTGTAAACGCAAAATAAACATGATTATATCACATCATGACTTTTGGGCAATGCTTTGGTAGAAAATCCTTAAATATGAATCATCCATTTCTTGTCAGTGCAGTACTTAAAGTTCAGAATTCGACCGCAGTTGTGATTGTTTTTAGTTGGTCAGCTGCCTGAAGTGTTATTTTAAGAAAGCAGAAGCACCATCATTTGCACACTTCTGATAGATCATACACCTTAACCTTGAGTTTGTGGCTCTAGTTTTTCAAAAGAAGTGAGGTCAAGATGAAGAACCATTTGCTTTTCTGGGGAGTCCTGGTCTTTTTTGTTAAGGCTGTTCTTGTAACAGGTAGGTGATAATTAGAATATTAGCTCAGATAAAAGAAAAAAAATATATCACAATTCTGTTTTTCCAAATAAACATGTTTACTCTTTGGGATGTTAATCAGTTGCTGTTTTATAGAATGTTATCATCTTAATATTTGCAGTGATCTTTACATAGACAAGACTCAGTGTGATTCTTTTTATTCTTTTTTCCTCTTTTCTCTGTTGTTTGCCTACCACAATCTAGGGAATAAGAAAATAGATCTTTCTGAATAACTGTAGGTAGTCATATGAATGTCCATATCAGATCTAAACAGTAATTAATCCTCCCCTTGAGTCTCTTAAATTAGTATACTGGAGAAATGAAGTAAGTAATTACTGTAAGTACAATATAGAATGCATTGAGATTTTATTTCCCCATAGAGACTGGTATTAGTTCCTACAGTTTCCTTGGATCTGAGCCCATGTATTATTATGACCCTTTAACAGTGTTTAATGTTATACAGGTTTCTTTTAACTCAGTGGTTCAATTTTAATGTTGTTTATTGACCTTTCAAGCAACTGTAGAAAAGAATATATTCTGAATATAAAAGTATGGTATTAAATAATGTGAATTCAGAAGGGCACATGAATTAAAAGTTATATAATTGGCTGGATTGTTTTTAACACTGAGTGAGTGTTGTTTTTATTCCAACAAAGCACAACAAAAATATAATTAAGAATAGTCATTTTAAAATACTCCTAATACTTAGTATTAGGAGTATTTTAATTTAATATGTTAATATTTAATTTTAAATATTAGTAATATTTAAAAAAAACAGTATAAACCATCTGTAATTTATGTATATTTGTTTATAAGTATAAATATATGTTTATAAACATGTTTGTATGCTATAAAGATATATATGTAAAGCATATATGTATTATATATACATATTGCTAGCTACTATATGAAATAGCTATCATTTATTAAATGCTATGTTCTAGGCATTATGCTAAGTGCTTTTATATAGTATTTCATTCAGTTCTCACAATAACCTTATGAGGATAGGCACTATTATTTTCCCATATAATTAAGCCACTGAGACTTAGAGAAATGAAATAACTTATCCATGATCATATAGCAAACAAATAGTAAGTAGAACCCAGGTAATCTGATTGTCCAGCCTACACTTCTGCTATCCTATTCTGCCTGTGTATAGGAATCACCTTTTAGTAAACTCATTATGGTCATATCTAGCATGTATTGTTAAGTCTTTTTTCTTAACAACATTTTTTCTTATTTGTTTTAATTGAATTAAATTAATTTTAACATGTTTATTTAGCACTTACTATATCTCCGATGAATTAGAATAAAGTAAGGTATAGTTCCTTTTAACAGGTTTATTAGGAAAAATACTGTCTATTGGTGAGAAAGAATGATAAAATCTATGTCTTGATGAATTGAAAGTATTTTTATGTTCTCTGGTAGATCTACTAGGCTGGCTAATATTTTAATATAAGTAATGATAGTTTCTTCCTAGGTTTCTGGCAAAGAAATAAATTATAGGTCAGAATAGAATATAGACATTTTCTGTTTAAAATTTTATAATCAAATCACTTATTTGACTATTTATATTTTTGATCAAGCTTTCTATGCTCACTTATATTTCATTGGGAAAGACATTTAAGAGTCATGGATACAGAAGCAGAGCATACCATTTTAGTCATTTTACTCTTCTAAGAATGTTCATATGAGTTCTGTCTTTACTTGAATTGACTCCATAATGTTTCTTCAATACTGTACAAACTTGTGTCAGGATTTTTACCAAGAGCTTGTCAATCATGAGATGATAATACGTTTTACTTCAAACAATTTTAAGTACAATAACAATTTTTTTCTGAGAGATTTTTGCTATAGGGAGGTGGAGAGATTGTAGCATGGTTGTTCCCCATGAGGGGGTACATTCTGACTTTCTTTCTCCCTTTCTTTTGCTCTGTCTCTCTGTGGTAAGTACACATGCCCTAGAGCAAAAAACTAAAAAAAAAAGAAGTCACAAAATAGAGTTATCTTGAGGAAAAACATACCTATTCTTAGTGCTATTTCAATTCAAGCAAACATAGATTTTTTTTTAAAAGTACAAATGAGAGTTCAAGGATATGATATTTCAAATTTGGTTTGTAAAGATTAATACTGATTTTTGTTTGCTTTTGAATGAATTGCTTTGGTGTGGGTAAAATTCAATCTAGGTTTTTCTTTTCTCTCTCACATTGATATTTGGCACTGGTTTATTTTTTCTACAAGACTACATCATTCAGAGACCTGTGCCTTTATTTGAAACATTAAATGAAAATCAGAATTCTTCCCTTCCCTTCCCTTTTCTTTCTTTTCTTTTTTCCAATGAGAGAAAGAGAAGGAAAGAGGGTTTTAAAAACAGGTTCTTCCAGTGTTTTCACCCTCTTGTCCTAGCCTCCAGTTAGGTAGGATTATAGGCACATCCTGTTTAAATTGGTCCCAAGTTGAACCTGAGCTTCCCATAAGGTTCCAGCATCACACAGTGGTGCCCTGCAGCTTGTGCCATGGTGGCTGGGCTAGAAAGATCAGAATTCTGTCAACCCACATTCCCATAGACTGACCCAAAGGAAAAAAAGAGAAAATTATCTCCAGAGTACATTTTCTTTTCTTTCATTTTGGGAGAAGTTTTTGCTATAGGGCGCATGCAATCGCCAGATAGACAGAGAGAGACAGAAAGCGAGAAATCACCCCCCAGGGGGGATGGCCACACCGCAGTCCCTTCTCCTCCATTCTCCTCTCGGGATCTTGGACGCACATGCACCTGGCGTGAGTTTTAAGCCACCGGGTCCGGGACTCAAACTGCGGTTGACTATGGGAGTCCGGCGACAGCCATTACGCTAACTGCTGGTCCCTAGAGTACATTTGAATTTTCTTTATTTTTTTAATGAGATTCCAACTGAGCTATTTTGATTAGGAAAAAACAAATGAAGAGAGCTGAGACTGATCAACTGTAAACCTTTGTTTTTCTACAAACATGAAAGATAAATTAATACCAAATATATAAATAGGCTTTTGTTTTCCTTTCTTCTTCATATGTTTTACTTTTGAAGCCCAAGATGAAGACAAAGGTACTGTCCTTGTTGACAACAAATGTAAATGTGCCCAGGTTACTTCCAGAATCATCCCTTCTCCAGAAGATCCTAATCAGGACATTGTGGAGCGAAACATCCGAATAATGTATGTGACATTTCCTATTTCCTTTGTTTTCTGTCTAAGCAGAGAGAGTTCTCATATTAAGCATTGTTTGAATGTAGTACCTTTATTCCTCTTTTTAATGTATAGCACCTTATGTAAAGTTGAATATTGTTAAGGAGTTTGAGGCAATTGTGTAGAAGTTGGGAGCAGGAACAAAGGTTTCTTGACCATCTAAACCTACCTAATTGGCTAGATCACTTTATTAGCAAGGGTTCTGATCTAGTCATCAACTAGATGGAGTTATTTCAGTTTGACTAAGAACTTTCAGTTACTCTTGTTCAGTTCAAACTGAAACTTGAAATAACACTAAAAGCCCTATTTTATGCCTTATATGGACTACTAAGTATTTTTACACTGTACTCTTCTGCCTGCATAAAGATAAAGCAGACTGATCACATTAATTTAATTCGGTCTTCACTATAAATGTTGAAGTGTCTATCTTATGTTTAGATCTCCAGGGGGAGATTTTTAAATTGCCCTCTATGATTCTTTAATTCATCTTCTTTTTTTTTTTTTGCTATAGGGCGCGTGCGCTCGCCAGACAGAGACAGAGAGACAGAAGGCGAGAAATCACCCCCAGCAGGGATGGCCACGCTGCAATCCCTTCTCCTCCATTCTCCCCTCGGGATCTTGGGCACGCACCCACACGCACCCGGTGTGAGTTTTAAGCCACTGGGTTCATTCGGGACATGAACCGCGGTCGACTACATGGGAATTCAGCAACATAGCCATTACGCTAACTGCTGGTCCCTAATTCATCTTCTTTTATAAAATGATTTTTTTTATGATATTATATTGTTTACCAAAGTCAGATAATTCAGTTACTTAATGTTACTTTGCCTGATGTATATTAATCTTTCTTTATCTTACTTCTGGACCTATGTTATCACTGCTGTGTTGTTATGGCATCAACCAGTTCTTCATTTACTAAAATGATGTGCCTTTAGGAAAGTTATTTAACTAATTTGAGATTGTTTTGTAAATTGTAAAAAGGAATAATTGTATATCTATGAATATATGCACATATATTACAGCATTGTGAAGATTAAATGTAATAATTTATTAAATAACAATTGTTTGGCTCACAGTAGACCTTCATAAATGTTTATTCTCTTGTCTTTCTAATGTTTAAGGGCTTTTTTGATACTACTAGAGGTTTGCAATCTAATAAAGAATAGATACATTCATTCATTCAATAAATAAATATTTATTTAGTAAATGCCAAATATTGAGGGTTGGTACTAGGGATACAACAGTTTATATAAACGCAGACCATGTTGTCAAAGAATTTACAGTTTCATCTGGAACTTTAAACAATTAAAAAGGTAATTACAATATTGTATAAGAAAAGCTGTGATATGAGTAGGCATAGGATGTTATAGGAGAATCGAGGAGGTGCACCCAGTCTAATCCTGGGGAATTGTGGTGGGGAGGGAGGAAGCAGTGGGAGACAGGAAACAGTGTTTGGAGTAAGTGATGGAATGGATAATGGCTGTTAGCTGAGTAGAACCTAACTGAGTAAATGTGTGTAGGAGGCATGGGACGGCTGATAGATTATTCTAGGAAAAGGAAACAGAGTTACTGTGAGCATTATCTTAGATCATGCATCATGCTTAGCATAGTACCAGGCATACTTAAGTACTTAGTAGTTTATGTTAGAATTGTTACTGTTTTTGTTAAGACCTACAGATGAGAAAAGCATGGTAAGTTTGTATAACATATTCCATATGCCGTGCATCTAGCTAGGCACTGGGAATAAATTAATGTTTTTGCCTTAAGGAATTTATGTAGCCTATGGAAGCAACCACTATATACATAAGCAATTATGATAATGGCATATGTTATAATAAATATATGTGAGCTTTAACGAGAGTACAGATGAAGAAATTTAGTGAGAGATGAGGATGGGATCAAGATAATTATCACAGATTAAAACTTGAATTGATTTCTGAAAAGCAGGGATTTGCCAAGTAAACAAATATGGTAGACACAAAAGTTGCTATGACATTTATTTTGGATAGGCAGTACTTAAAATTTAGCAAATTACTATAAAATTCTGATTAATAGTATTACTAAAGAATGATTATATAATAGAATACTGAAGATAATGATCAATATTGTGCTAATGAAATAATAAATATATTCTAGCAGTATATCTATTACCAAAAGATAATAATCTGTGTTTCATTATTTTGCTTCATTTTCTTTCTTATTTTTCTAGTGTTCCTCTGGGCAACAGGGAGAATATCTCTGATCCCACCTCACCATTGAGAACTAAATTTGTGTATCATTTGTCTGACCTGTAAGACATTTTTGTTCATACTAATATAGATGTGGAAATTAATAACTTTTAATTAACATTGTTAGTAAGAATGTTTTTGAAAATATGTTGGGGTATAAACATTTGTAAATATAATCTGAATTTTGGAATACACTAATTCCTGTGTTAATTATTAGGTATCATAGATTCATGAACTTTGTCACAGATAAAAACTAGAATCAATTTATTCTTTTTAAAAAATCGTCCAAGTTATTTCTGCTTGCCAGAGCGAGAGAGAGAAAGGGCAAAAGACCCTCACCTTCATGGGGTGTGATCATGCTGCAATCACTTCTCCTCCATTTCTCCATCCTGTCAGGATTTGAGGCACATATGCACATGTGCCCAGCATGTTTTCAAGCCATTGGGACTAGGATTCCAACCCCAGTTGACCACATGGGAACCAGTTCTCTTTACCACTAGGCTAGGGATCTGGTCAGCTATATATTTATTCTAAAGAAATTATTGCCTTTCACACAGGGAAGGTCAATTTATCCTAATAGCTCGCTAAGTGGATTTCATCTTAGAAACATGCAGATCTTTGTTTGGAAACCTTAGAATCCAATAACAATTTTTTTTTTTTGAGAGGTTTTTGCTATAGGGTGGGCGCTCGCCACACAGAGACAGAGAGAGATCGAGAAATCACGCCCCCAGGGGGGATGGCCACGCCGCAATCCCTTCTCCTTCATTCTCCTCTTGGGATCTTGGGCACGCACGCACACACGCCTGGCGTGAGTTTAAGCCACTGGGTCCTGGACGCGAACCACGGTTAACTACATGCAAGTCCAGCGACATAGCCATTATGCTAACTGCTGGTCCTACCAGTAACAATTTTTGAAGAATGAAAGCCTGTCATTTGTGGCAACTGGATACTATTTTTTTTTTCTTTTTTTGGAGAGGTTTTCGCTATAGGGCACGTGCGCTTGCCAGACAGAGAGAGACAGAGAGACAGAAAGCGCGAAATCGCCCCCCAGGGGGGATGGCCACACCGGCAACTGGATACTATTAAGCTAAAGAAATAAGCCAGGCACAGAGAGACAAATATCTCATGATCTTACGAATTTGTGATCTGTAAAAAGTTGATCTTATAGAAATAGAGGCTAGAATGGTGGTTACTAGAGGCTGGAAATGATGGGGGTGCAGGGGATGGGGATAGTTATAGTTAGGAAGAACAAGTTCTAGTGTTCTATTGTGTGATATGATGACTGTAATTATACCATGTTGTATATTTCAAAATGCCTGTAGAAAAGGGTTTTACATAGTCTCACCACAAAGAAATAATAAATGAGATAATGAATGTCTTAATAATCCTAATGTAATCACTTCATATTGTATACATATATCACATGTAACCTTATAAATGTGTGAAATTATTACATGTCAATTTAGAAATAGAAAAAATTCAGTTTAAAACAATTCTTTCTTTTCTCTGTAAATAACTTGTTTAAACAAATATCTGGTTGGGAATAAACCTAACATAGATGTTGCTGTATGGTTTAGACAAAATAATCACATTATCCATTATTAAACTGCTTACTTTCAACTAATTTTTATATATTAAAAATTGGAAAAATATCATAGATTATTATATATTGTAGGGCTGCTTAGGTCTCAAAGGAACCAGCCTTTGTTAGTTGTTGAGTTGAAGTTGCGAGAACTAATTCATTTAGATAGACATGTGTAGGCATTGAGATTTTGAAACAGCATTTGATGGGGATTATCATTTGATGGGGATTATCTAATGCATGTATTTATTTTTCAGCTGTAAAAAATGTGATCTTACGGAAGTGGAGCTGGATAATCAGATAGTTACTGCTACCCAGAGCAATATCTGTGATGAAGACAGTGCCACAGAGACCTGTTACACTTATGATAGAAATAAGTGCTACACAACTATGGTCCCACTTATATTTGGTGGTAAGACCAAAATGGTGCAAACAGCTTTGACCCCGGATTCCTGCTATCCTGACTAGCCATCACTGACTGTATAGTCTTTATCTTGAATGGCTCTCCATTTTAATTCAGAAAGTTAATGTGTATGCTACCAGTGAATTTGAAATCAAGATTTCTTTTTTTGGATGATGAAAAATGATCTTTTCCCTCCAAATAATTGAAATAGTAACATCATTATCTTCATTAGGTAATTACTTCTCAAATATATGTTCATATTCTGCTATCCATCAGTTATGCTTGCCTGAAGGGGTGGTATGTTTCCTTAAGAATAAAGTTTCTAACATTTAAAAATACAGGGAGTGGGAGAAAGTAAAACTCAAATAATTAAAAAAAAAAAGTAAAAATTTGGAGGCATAATTAAATGTTGCCTTTTAAAATTTTTTGGCTTTGCCTTGGAGAGCCAGAGCTTTTGCGTTCTATACTATTTCCTTTTTAAAAGTTTCACTGTGTAGAGAAAATATATTTGTAAACATAAATCAATTATAGGTCTTCATTAGGAAGATAATAATTGAAAAACATGTTTGGAACCATTTATAAAAATAATTTAACTTAAAGGGATATAACTAAATACATAATTTAAAACTATGTTTTGACATAACACAGATTTGAAAGCAGAAGATGGATATTTTTCTTTTTTGATAAAATTATTTTTGGTCAGTTTAGTATAAGAAATTCCCACTGGAAATCATTTATATTGTAACTAATGAAATATGTATTCCAAAATATGTATTCTCTATCACAGTTTGAACAATTAAATAGATTCCTAAGCATATATCTGTGTGTAATAATTTACTGGAAAAAGTTTGCTCCCGTTAACTTTCTCATATGTAAGTTAAATGTAATTTGTTATTGACAAATAGTTTTGTAAATATGATATAATAATGCATTAATCACTGAATTCATACATGTTTGAGGTGGCTTTGTCATTTTACACCTAAAATTAAATAAGGTAGGATCCCCTTAATAAACACAGTATTTATCATGGCAAATAAAACTTCTTAGCAGATGGGCCAGCAGATGGCATGGAGGTTAAGGTGGCTGGCTGAGTGGTTTGAGTCCCAGATCTTGTGACTTGAAAATCACACCGAGTGCATGTGCATGCCCAAAATCACGAGAGGAGCATGGAGGACAATGGACATGGCATGGTTATTTCCCCTAGGGGGTGGTTTTTCACTTTTGTTCTCTATTTCTCTCTGTTTCCCTCAGAGTCCTATAGCAAACAAATAAACAAAAATTTCTTAGCAGGAAGACAAGGGTAATTGACATATTTATCAAAGGGTACTATGGAAAGTAAATGCTGACTCTGGATTTAAAATAGTAGGAGGATAATTAGTAAAAGTCAGTTTCTTGAAGAAGTATTGTTTGGTTTCCTTTAAAACATGGTGATAGTCATTTTTAATAACTTTCATTGTGTTCATCAGGGATAAAGATAGGACACTCTGGTTCTTCAGTAGGAAGTGTAGTTTTGATGTACATTGCTAAAGTTATGTCCATTCTTGATTGTTTTTCAGTCCAGTATGTACTTTTAGCCAAGTCGTTGAATCTCTTTTAATTAGTAAATACATACTGAATATTAACCACATGCTCAGGATTGTTCCATAGTGATTAAGTTATGATAAAGTCATCATCATACTCATTCCTTAGAATTCTGCTCAGTTGTGATTTTCTCTGTGAGGCCCATCATGATCATAAAAAAAATTAAATAAATAAATTGGGCCTATTCTCTTCTCTTAGTTTATTTCTTCCATATAGTTGACACCTTATAACAGGCTTATCATTTACTTATTTGTCATCCTCACAGGAGGTCTGTTTCTCCCTATTAGAGTGTAACCTCCATAAGCACAGGGATTTCTGTTTTGCCCATTGATATGTTCCTAGTACCTAGAACAATGTCTTGCATGTAGAGTCACTCAGGTTTGTTTATTTTATTCATGAGAGTAAGCGTGTGCATACATATGTGCACTCATGCACGTTTGTGCAAAAGACAAACACCTTCACATCACACTGTGCTCGTGAAGATCTTGGCTTTTATGCATCTGGTGTATCTTCAGGTCTGCTCAGGATCCAAACATACAGTTGGTCATATGGCTTCGAGAACTGCAGTTCAGTACACTACCACCTGTGTCACTGGGGCAGGACCTCAGTATGTATTTGCTGAGGGAAATAAACATGAGTACATCTTAGTTGAGGAGATAAGGCATATGCATAAAGAATTAACAGTTATTTGGCAGTCTACTAAAGACCTAAGTTCCAAAGTGTTAGAGAATTTATGGGAGACTGTTTTTGAAGAAGTCCCGTACTTTCTCACAGTCTTCGCTCTAGTTTCTCTGTGTACCCAGTAGAGAAAGCTTTTTGCCATGTTGTGGATCATTTTATGTAAGATACTGTATTACAACATTATTATCTCATTAAATGCTATCAGGAAGAGGACTCCAAATATATAGTTCTTTAGGTCTTCCTTCTTTAAGAAGTTCAGTTAAATTTTAATACCCACATATTAATAGCAGTTTAGTACTTATTATTTACTGGCCACTAATCTCAGTGCTTTATAAATATTAACTCCTTCAGTATAAATCCAGCATAACTGGTGGCTCTTAAATGAGTCATTGAAAAAAGATCAATGCCTTCCTATAAGTTTCATTCATACATTTGCCTGTATTAGTGGAACATTTAGCAGGTGTACACTAAGGAATCAATATAGATGTGATAACCATGAAAGAATTCTCTTAATTCTCTGCAAGGAGTTTAATTGACCTCACTCTGATATGTCAGTATTTGTGTGAGGCTGTGCATTCAATGGGATGCTCCATCCAAAGATAACTGAGCATGGCAGGGAACTAAGATTGGTAAGTTTTTGGAAAACACAGCTAGGACTCTTCTGATGGATCACTGATTTGGGGACTCACCATAAGTTTTGCAGAAAATTTCTTAACACCATACCACCAAAATATAGCTACTCAACCTTCCCTCCTACCCTCGTTTTCTTCCACGTAGGCCTGAACTGGTAGTTCTACCAGCCTTCTTCACCTCCCTCACTTTCCTTCATAAAGTATTTTCCTAATATATCTCTTGCGCCTCTGATTCCATCTTGGAGTCTGCTTCTGCAGGACCCAAATGAATGCAATAGCCAGTTATGATCATCTGCTTTAATAATGATGTTGAGCATTCTTCATATGCCAAGCAATTTATCTATGTTCTCATTTAATTCTCAGTAAGTTTTTGTGTATTAATTTCAAATTGTAGATGAAGAAAACAAACTCAGTGGAATTAATTTGGTTCACTCCCCAGTAAATGACAGTGAAATGCAACCAACTCTGCTATAGCCTTAAAAGTTAATTGAAGCTTTCAGACAATCATGTCCAGTGTGACATTTTCTTACTGCTTATGTGACATTTGGAGACTCATGTGACCAATTCATTGGCTAGTCATAAATCTACTATAATTTTTGTACTTTTTGTCATTTTCAATTTGAATTAAATGAATGGTATTTTAAAAAGACAGACATAAATAGATACCATTGGTGAGATATACTTTTCTTCTGCATAGTTCTTTTTTTTAAAAGATTTATTTAACTTTACTTACTCATTAATTTATTTTGATTTGACCATACACACACACACACACACACACACACACACACAGACACAGGTCTGGGACTTGAACCAGGGATAGCCATGTGGGAGTGTCCAGCACCTTAACCACTATGCCACCTGCTGGTCCCCTCTTCTGCATAGTTTTTGAAAAGCTAGCCAGTAGTCCAAGTGATCATACTCAGCACCAGCCAGATAAAAATTATATTAACGAGCATAAGAGTAAATATTATTTTTATTTTTAAAGTTTTTGCTCTAGGGTATGTGCTCTTGCTGGGGAGAGAGAAAGAGAGAGAGAGAGAAAGTGAGAATTCCTCCCCCTGGGGAGGGAGATGGCCATGCTGCAATTCCTTTCCCTCCATTCTCTTGGAATTTTGGGCATGCATGCACATGCACTCAGCATGTTCCCCAAGCTGCTGGATGCCTGGGACTCAAACTGTACAGTTGATCATATGGGATCTACCTCTTCACCATGATGCCAATTGAACCCCAAAGTAAATATTCTCTCTCTCTCTCCTTCTTCTTCTATTTTTTTTCTTTTTAGAGTTTTTCGACTTAGGACACATGCACTCACCAGAGAGGGAGAGACAGAGACGGTAAGAGAGAAAGTGAGAAACTACTCCCTAGGGGCATGGCCATGCCACAATCTCTTCTCTATTCTCTTCCTGGGATCTTGGGTTTGTACATACATGAGCCCAGTGTGATTTTCAAGCCATAGGGCCTGGGACTTGAACTGTAGTTGGTTATGTGGGAGTCCAGCGATGTAACCACTATACCATCTGTAGGTCCCAAGGGTAACTGTTCTTAATGTCAGGCTTTTAAAAACTAATAGACCCAGACTAAGACCTTCGTTTTCATTTTGACTATTGTCATTTTTGATGGCTTTGTGATTGATAATAAAAGTGAACTATAGTCATACTTTTGCAACCACAAATACACATGTGTATGCACAAACACTTATAAGCAGATATGCATGTGTTTCCTGACCTAGGAACAGTGGGATGGGATAAGTATTCTCTACTGGTCTTGCGGGTTTTGGCTTTGAGGTAGTGGTGTCTAGTGAATAAATCTATCACCAGGGTGGAATACAGACCCTTAAGTGACAAAATAACACTGGGCAAGTTAATTCAATCTAAGATTATTTCGTCACTTAAAAACTGGGAGTAATAATGGCTATTTTACAGATTTTTATTAAAAAAGGATATGTGCTAAATGTATGTATGTATATCAGTTAGTACATCTATTGTAGCAGTCAGCAACACTATAAACTGCAGTTGCTATTATGTGTTGTCTTTAGGCTCTTCTCTGCCTAGGCAACAAATCAGAGAAAATATATACAAGATCAGTTATATATATATATATGTTAGATCAGTGATTCTTAAACCTTAGAGTGCACAAGAATCACCTGGAGGACTTGTTAAGTCAGATTGTGGAGCACCTCCCACCCCCATGCTGGTTAAGTAGTTTTGGTATGCTGCTAGAGAAATTGCTGTTCTCACAATTCCCAGTTTTTCTGCTGAGAACTGTTTTGAGAATTACCATTTTAGAGTTATGAATCTCCACTGCCACCTAGTGGTTGAATTTTGAAATAATTACTCTGCATTTGTTTTGTTTTGCTAGAGGATCCCTGCATTCCTCCAGAGACAGAGAGAGATAAAGAGGGAGAAGAGAAAGCAACTCTTACAAGGGATGGTCACACTGAAATCCCTTCCCCTTAATCTTTTCCTCCTTTTGGGGTTTTGGGCATGCCCAGTGTGTTTCTCAAGCTGCTGGATCCAGGACTCAGCATGGTTAGCCATATGGGATTCACCTGCCTTAGGTAATAGAGCTGGCTGGATTCTGCATTTTTTTTTTTTTTTGAGAGGTTTTTGCTGTAGGGCACATATGCTCGCCAGAAAGACAGAGAGACAGAGAGACAGAAAGCGAGAAATCACCCCCACGGAGGGATGGCCACGCCGCAATCCCTTCTCCTCCATTCTCCTCTCGGGATCTTGGGCATGCACACACACGGCCCCAGCGTGAGTTTAAGCCACCGGGTGTGGGACTTAAACTGCAGTCAACTACACGGGAGTCCAGTGACATAGCCATTACACTAACTGTAAGGCCCTGGATTTTGCATTTTTAACACACGTTGTTTCATTTGGCTCTTATAATGCCCTATGAAATAAGTACTATCTTCATTTTACAAGTGATGAAAATGATATGTAAAGAGATACAGTAACCTGCCTAGGGTTTTACAAGTAGGGGAATTAATAATTGGGCTTACAACTGTCAGACTTCAAAGCTGATGGTCTCATTCAGCATGTTATTCTTTCTTAACATATTTTCAGATTATCTTCCCCGGTATTTCCACTTCTGAGGAAATAACCAGAAATATGGACAAGAATGGTTAGAGATATTTATCACAACATTTTTTTTCTGATAATGAAAATTCATAAGCTTTCAGTCTATTATTAAGGAGATGGTAATATAGACGTCTTTCAGAATATCTTATGGACAAGAAAAATGAAATTTTAAATAGTTTTAATTTCATGGAAATTGTACAATCTGAAGAGGAAAATGGAGGCAATTGCACAAGAGAATGGCTTTAAGAGCATCCTATGATGGGGCCAGCAGGTGGCATGGTGGTTAAGGCACTGCATCCCCACATGACTGACTGTGGTTCAAGTCCCAAACCCAGCAGCTTGAAAGTCACAACAGATCAATAGATTAAATAAATAAATAAATGCTTAAAAACATAATAAAAGAACATCCCCTGACACATACATGAGAAAAGACTTGAGGGAAATAAGTCAGCTCTTGTTATTTATTTATTTTTAAAATTTTCAACATTTTATAAATATCCCAAAATGAATGTATATTTTAAAATGAGAAAATGTTAACTATTATTAATTAATTTTGAATCTTAATAATTTTGAATCTTAATAATCATTATATTAAGTTTGAGGAAATTATAAATGTCTATACATTTATACAATGTATTTAAAGAGAAAGTGATGTCTACGTAGCATCTACTCTGTGCTCAGTATAGTGCCAGTTGCTATGAGGAATATTTAAGAAAAATTTGAACTGGGACTCACTTTTTGGTTTTCTTACTCCTGGGTTAGGCAGAACTAACCCAGGGAAAACTTAGCACAGGATATGACAAATGTGTGATTAAATATAAAAGATGATGTGGTTTGAGCCTTCAGGGAAACTGTAAGGCTAGGGTATGAATTGGATAGGGCCTTCACTGATGAAGAATAGAACTTTCTAGAATTCCTTGAGCCAGGCAAAGAGATAGGAAGAAGCAAAGCATAAATATAGAAATTGAGACAGGACCAGCCCACTCTTTCTCTTTGTGTTTTTAAAATAGATTCTTTCACTTATATGCTTCATTTATCCACATTGGTGACATTCAGTTTTTTTCAGTGGTCCAGACTTTTCTGTTCTTTTTCCTGGTGAGTGTATAGGTGTCACTTTCTTACAGGAAATAGCGTAGCTGTTTGTCACTCAAGTTTGGTCCATCCTCACCTGGGAGCCTGTTGACACTATAGAATGGTGATCCGTGCTCTAGATCTATTGAATCAAACTCTGCATTTGAACAAAATCTGCTGTCATATACATACCAAAACTCAAGGATTGCTAATATGACATGTGACACAGAAAACAGCCTAAATCCTCTGGGCTCAAGGGAAACTGCCAATGTGATATAACAACTGAGGGACTGAAAGGGTCGGCATCTTGTGGGATATTTATCCTAACCTATATACCATGGTCAGACTCACTCTTTTAAGGGAATGGTAGATGACTTGAAAGGACAACATATTAGAAAAATGAAGAAAAAAAATTTTTTTTTTACCAGGTTTAACCACAGCAAATACCTGCTTCATATAGGGCAGGAAGGAATGAGATACAGTTATTTGAATAAATTCAGAGGTCCAAGCACTGATGAAGCACATAAATGGAGGATGCTGGGTGCTTAGAGAGCAGAGGACCATGACTGGAGTTGGGGAAATAGGCCAGTAAGAACAGAGTCATTTATTTCACAATCATGTCTGTGTCAAATTATAGCTCAACTTCATCATTGTTTTTTGAAGATTTCTCTTCCAACATGGAAGTTTGCTTTTCACTAGCTGAATTTTGTTTCTAAACCTAATTGACTATAAATTCAAAGTAAGAGAAGACAACCCAGTGGCTGATGTTATTGGACTAGGAGTGAGGTGGAGAGTTAAGGGAGAGCAAGTGAATAAGCTAAATTTTTTAATTGTGAAATGCTGATGATCTGTTTTCCAAAAGTGCAGTTTTCATCTGGCTTTAAAATGGGCAGTAGATGTGAGTCATAAAGAAATCTTTAAGGTTTTGTGAATAAGGGAGCTGTTGATTTTAAAGTCCAACAACTTTAGTTCCCTTTTTGGTTTTTAGAAATGAAGTTTGGTGAGCCTTGCAGGTGGTGTGGTGGTTAAAATGCTGGGCACTCCCACATGGCGCTGACCATGGTTTGAGTTCCAGACCTTATAGCTTGCTTTCTCATATTCCCTCTCTTTCTTCGTGTCTCTCTCTGCTCAACTTATAATAAATGAATAAATAAATTAAATTAAATAAACAATTCTTAAAAGAAAAAAAAAGAAATGAAGTTTGGTTTCTTGAGAGCAAGATGAATCTTTAGGTTCTTAGGGTCATGATTTAAGGTAACTGGGGTAAGTGAGAGAAGAGGAAACAGATGGGTAGAGATATGTCAAAATAAGTAATAAAATAATTCAAAGGTTGTTTCTGGTGATTTTTCTTTAAAGTTGTATAAATTGAGACTGATGTGAGTGACCAAAGTGAAAATAATGTAATTTTTATCTGTAGGTGCTTCAAAAAGCCAGAGGAAGAATCTTCACAATAATGGCTACTAGGCTGACTTCTCATCACCCTACTTTGCTTTCTGCATAAAGTAGGGAAGTACAACAATTCTGTCAGTCATCTGGACAAGCCCAACTGTCCTCTAGAGAAGTCTATTGTAGACTGTGCATCAGAAAAGCTTATAAAGCAGGTGTGTGTTAGCCTTGCTAGGTTATTTCCTCTCTGAGTATTATAAACTAATGCTCATATTATTTTCATCTTATTGATTCACTTTACCAGATAAAGATATCATAGGTTTTGTACAGTGTTTTAAAATCAGCAGGTGATGACCATTAAACATCAGAACTCACCATAGAAGTGGTGCAGTAGAGGAGGGATAGGAATGTTGGAGATAAGTATGATCACTTTCAGAGCCTCTCCAGTGTGTGCACCTTACTTTAGAGCATATTTAAAAACTTTATCAATAATTTAGCAAGGGCACACAGAGTAATTACTTTCTTTTCTTATTTATTTATTTTAATTTGATAGTGGGCGTGCGTGCTCACCAGAGACAGAGAGAGAGACAGAGAAAGACAAAGTAAGAAAGTATCCCCATTAGGGGATGCCACACCACAATTCCATCTCTCGCTCTTTTCAGGATTTTGGGCACACATGCACATGTGCCCGGCATGTTTTTCAAGCTGCAGGGTCCAAGATTCAAACTGCAAGATTGGCCATGTGGGATTCAGCCACTTTAATCACCATGCCATGGGCTGGCCCATAATTAATTTCTTTAACCAGGATCTCAGATCTGGTATTCAGGCCTGTGCTGATGAGATGGAGTCATTTTCTACAGGGATATTTTCCCTTCCTTTTTCACTATATTTTTAAATTCAGTATATGAGTTGTCACACTGTGCTTTTTACATTTTACATTACAGAGGTCTCAGATGGTAATTTAAGTAGCAGTACCTCAGTGATTCAGATGTGTCAACACATCTGCTGAAACAACTATGTGACCCATATATTTTGGTGAAATAAAAAGTGAGTATTTAACAATGGAAATATTTATGTTGAGATTAAAAAAAATAATTTGGGGAAAAGTAGTGAAACAATGTTTTATTTTGAGAGGATAATTCTTAAGATACAGCTTAATACACGATAAGTTAATGATTTTTTTTCAATGCATGGTTAAAATATCAAGCCAGCAGTGGCGTGGAAGGAAATTCAAGCAACCAGTGGCTCAATAATCTGCCTCTAAAATTCCTTCTAATGCTGAAATTCTATGATGCGAATGTGATTATGTATAAAACTACCAAATGTGGTCAGTATCCCAGACAGTTCACCTGCAGGAAAAGCTGACTATAATGTTTTCATGGAGATATTGTAAGTCATTTGAAAATCAGTCAATCAATAAAGACTCATTGGTTGTATTCCATGTGTGAGACACTGTGATGGGTACTTTAGAAGACTGAAGGCCAAATCTCATTTGCTGCACCTGGGCCACTACTGCTATTGATGGGAGAGGAAAACTTAAGGATCACCAAGAGAGTTTGATACTTAATTGAATCTTGGGGGGAAATGTTTGGGAAACATTGGTATAAAATATCAGTTGTTTTTCTTCTCCCAAAGATTCCTTTTCTCAGATTTTAGTATTATATTTCTCCATATTTCTGAGGTCTTCTTATAAAATCTGTCCCAGGAAATTTTCTCCTAAGATACTCATTAAAGTTAGAATATAATTTTCCAGGTAATTCTGAGAATTCTTTCGCTCTAGGCAAGGAATATCCAGATAATAGGCAAAAATACCATTAGTAATAATAATAATAAAAACCTAGATATAGTCTAAGCAAGGCAATATAGAAATACCTACTTTACAAAATAATTTACACTATGTAATCAAGATACCAAGATAGCATGTCTGTGAGTAATTCTACACAAACCTGAAGTAGGTCAGTAGTAGGATGGATGGTAGAATCATTTTTGCTGAACTAGTAAGAAATCTAAACATTGAGGGTTTTATTTTAGACAGTGTTTCCCAAAATGTAGTCTAGTGAGAGTTTTATGTGATAGCGTATGGCAAGTTCTAGTCCCACCTCCCACCAGAGTGACAGTTTCTTCAGTTTTCCTTCCTTCCTTTTTTAAAAAAAATCTTTTCTGACTCCTAGTTCTATATAACTAGCCTGTCTACCTTTTCTGAATTTCATGTTCTAACTGAGTTGTGTTTGTTTGGTAGAGATCATAAGAAAATTAAAACAAAACAAAAAAAGGTAGATATCTGTGTATACTATTTCAGAAATATATTGTGTAATGATGGTTAGGCTGGGTCAAGAAAACAAGGCAGAATTTAGGGAGTAGATACAAAAAAGGAGAAGAGTGACATGCAGTCTTAAGGAAAATGATGTAGCATGGAAAAAGATAAAAGGAAGAAAGTAGAGAAGAGAAGGATTAATTGACAAATTATACATTAGGAGACTGGACAGAAAGGTAGGAAGAAAGGAAGATTCGATGGAGGAGGCAGTTACAAAGAAGACTAGTTATGTTTAGAGACAGCTAGCTTAGTATATGAGAAATTATAGAATGAGAGAAAGATAGGAAAGTCAAGTAGAAAGTTAATATAGAATAGTTGAGGGACAAAAAGAAAAGGGAAGATAAAGGGAATGAAAAAGGTAAAGAGAGAGTAGAAGAAAAAAGAAAATGTCAGAATATTATCTAGGGGGAAAAAAACTGAGAAAGACCAACACAAGAAAAATGTAGAGTGCATCAGAATATACGTACATGTAGATCTCCTTTCATAAAATGGAAAGTTCATTTGCTTTTCAGTCTCACAAAACCAGACAATTTGCAAATATAGAACACTGAGAGAAAAGGAGTCAGCAAGCAAAAGGATAGTAAGCGAGACAAATGTTTTCCAAGTTGTGAGACAGGAATGGTCATGGCTTTTCTGCCTTGTTAAGTGTGCTGTAATTTGTGATAGTGCAGGACCCAGTAACCCCAAGAGGCCAAATCTCATTTGCTGTACCTAGGTCACTACTGCTGTTGATGGGAGGGGAAAACTTAAGGATCACCAAGAGAGTCAGATACTTAATTGAATCTTGGGGGAAAATGTTTGGGAAACATTGGTATAAAATATCAGTTGTTTGTCTTCTTCCAAAACTGCTTGATTGAGATAATCCTAGGCCTGAAGTAGTAAGCAGTCTTGTACCTGGTCCTGTGGATTGGTTCCTCTTTGAAGGAATTCAAATGGAGTGTGTTCACCTGCATTAAGTGGATCTGCATTTATACTCTTAAATTGTTCCCCAGTAACTAACTCAACCATTGTGTTAGGATTTCCAGTAGGCATAATTGGATCCCCTTCAAATGGGCCTTGCCTTCCATTGCTAGAGAGAGTTCCAGGGCTGGAAGAGTGAGGCTTTGCTATCTTGGAGCCAAAGCATGGTAACTGCAGGATGCTAGATGGTCTTTGTTGGTGCCGCTCATCTTCATTTCCTTGGCCCTCACTTTGGATGCCTTCTGGTTTCAGGCCTTCATCAGGTGTACTAATGACAAGCTGCTCAGGAGTAAGGTCAACAGTTCTTTCATTGAGCTGGTTGCCTTCAAAAATTTGTTCCATTACATTATTTCCATCTCCTCCAAGCTCACTTTGGAGACAAGGTATATTCTTTGGTTGAAGGGTACTGGCTTCAGGAATGGGCAAAACTCCCCTTTGGCCTTGCTGATTCTTCATAGAACATGGTGTGTTCCTCCTCAGAGTGGACACATCATCTCTAAAAGGACTTGCGTTTTGGCTTTCTCCAGGAACTCTCTTCTCTGAGCTGTTTCTTTGGCCAGGTAGGATGCTTGTTGGGGAGATGACATGTCTTGCATGCTTGGTATGACTGCCTTCTGTGTACTGAGGACTGGTGTCCTGGTTCTCCCCTGGGGCAAGGCCATAGGATGGAGTGTAATCTTGTAGAGCCAGTGGATTGTCCTTGGGACCTGTGGAACCACCAGTACAGCAGGAACCTCTCTGGGTCAGGTGAAATAGATGTGCTTCTTTTTGACTTGGTGGGTAACTTTGAGGGATTAAGTCTGGGAAAGCCAAATGTTCTCTGTCTGGTGAATTTAGCCTTGTAATTTGCATGCCATACTTGAAATCCTCACCGTCATGCCATGTTGGATTTTTCTGAAGCCCAGCTGGGGAGTTACTGGGATAGCGTTGGTTCTCTTTCTGGTCTGGTGGACTAGGTGGAACTTTATGTAAGTTTGTTGCCCGATCCCAGAAATTGCTGTTAAAATATGATCCTCCTTCTTTCTGCCTTTGGTCTTGAATTCTGCGGTCCCAGGAGTTCCACGAAGGAAACAGAGTGCTTTCTTCTTGTCCAATAGCATTATTAGCATAATAGCCCCTGCTCTCCACTGGTGGTGAGAGTGTGGGAGCTGTGTTATATGATGGGAAATTGTCATCTGGGTTCCAGGGGTAAAATTCTCTATAAGGAAAATCTTCCCTAGGTTTTGATGGATTATCTAAAGAATAAGGAAGGTATTCCTTTGGTTGATTTGGTGTATATTGCTCACCTTCATAGTGCCTAATTGTAGGGCCTTCTTTAAAGCTCAACTCTTCCTCACCCCATCTATTCTGTCCTGGAAAAGGTTCATCTCCAGTTGGATCAGTTGGGTCCTCTTCATTATAAGGGACTGTCTCTTTTATGTCTGGAGTATTCATGGGGTATAGTGGATTTTCTGGTTGCCCCATAGTATTGGGAGAAACATTTCTATCATCCCATGTATTGCTCCTAGGGAATGGTGAGCTTTCCCTAGGATCATAGGGGTTGTATTCAGGGTAGAAAACACTTCCTCTAGAGCCATGGGAAGGATGAGGCAAATGTTCCTGCCTCCCAGGATCTTCCTTAAAGGGTGGAGAGATTTCTTGGTGGTTCCAAGTATTTCTTCCTGCAGGAAAATGTTCTTTTACTGGGGGGATTTCTTCAGGGTATGCAGGCTGATATGTACTGTGTTTTAATTCTGGCCGATTAGTTTCTGATTCATATGGGTTTCTTCTTGGCTCTAAAACAATGCCTTTGGGCAAATTCTGGTTTTGGATTTGTCCATCAGAATTTTGGACTCTTTTTGAATCTCCTCTTGGGTAATAGGAGTTTACATGTTGATCAATAGAATTAAAAGTTGGGATTTCTGTGTTATCCTCAGGGTGAGGCAGTTTATAATTTGGTTTATTAACTCCATAGTTCTGAGTATTTCTCCAGGGGCCAGTTGGAGCCTTTGTAGGAACAACTATTCTTTCTTTTTGACCTGGTGACTTCTCCTTAGGATTTTGGATTTTTTCGTTGTGGCCAACAGTACCATGTTTGGGACCCAGTGGGGCAACATTGGTTCCCATGGGGTGTTTATTTGGCCCTTGAGGCTTCCTTCTGAGATTTGCTGGATTTCCTGCATAGTTGGCATAATTACCTCTAGAAATGGAAGAGTAAGCTTTCCGATAAGTTGGAGTTCTTGGGTGAGCTGCTTGTTTACTTTCCAAAGCAAAGGAATTCCACGAAGGACCCCTCTGAACTTGTTGATTTCGGTAAAAAGGCCTAGTCTGTCTATTTCCCATGGCGGTACCAGTGGAATGCCATTGTCTTCCAGAAGGAAAATTTCTAATGTTAGGATTTGGATGAATATTTGGCTGACTTGGTCTCCATGGGATTTGATTTCCCAACACTCCCTGGCGTGAAGTATTAACTGGAGGGGGTGTGATGCCCCCATTTTGAGCTGTAGGGTTGCTTCCAGTGTTTGGTCCAGGGCCACTGTTTCTTGGACTGGTGTCATTTCCACCCTGACTCCCTCCGGGATTTGGCTGGGTAGAATTAGTCTCTGTAACTGTTGAATTAGCTGTGGGCTCTGTAGCTGGACTCTCTGCTTTAGGAGGATCTTTTTCTTTAGGTTTTTCAAAATCTTGTTCAAACATCTCTTCAGAATAATAAGGAGGGCGTCCCCCAAAGCCATGATATCCAAAATATCCAAAGTAAGGATTCTGTAGGGAAGAAGATAGGAGTCAGTAGTTACTTAATTTTCCACAATGGTATTGCTTGGATTTCTTTTTTTTTTCCAGAGTAATAAGGACATTTTATCAGCCACATGTTTCTCTTAATACTACTGGCCAAGTTTTATGTTTGAAATTTGATTCCTTGTTTCTATTTATTTATTTATTTATTTATTTTTAGTTTTTTTTTTCCCCCCTATAAGCTTGTTTTCTTGCTGGAGAGAGACAGAGATAAGTGAGAAATCACCCCTCCCCCCCAGGGGGAATGGTCATGCCTTCTCCTCTGCCTGGGATTTTGGGCATGCACACATGCCCAGTGTGATTTTCAACCCTCTAGGTCCAGGACCCCATGGTCAACCATGTGGGAATCCAGCACCTTAAACACCAAACCACCTACTGGCCCACTCTTTGGTTTCTATGACCTTTATTCCTCCTCGTTCTCTCTTCTGGTATTCTTTTTTTTTTTTTTTTTTTTTGAGAGAGAGATTTTTGCTATAGAGCATGTGCGCTTGCCAGAGAGCAGAGAGAGATAGAGCAACATAAAGCAAGAAATCACCCCTCTACCCTCCCTGCCCCTGCCAAAGGGGAAGGCAACACTGTAATCCTTTCTCCTCCATTCTCCTCTTGGGATTTTGGTCACGCACACACATGTGCCCATTATGAGTTTCAAGCCACTGGGTCCAGTACTTGAATCGCGGTCAGCCACATGGGAGTCAGTTCCTTAACCATCATGCCACCTGCTGGCCCTCTGGTATTCTTTTTGACTATTGTTTCTCAGCTTTTCTTTCTTAGGGCTAGGTCCTTTTTTGTTTGCTAGTTTTTTAAAGGATTCCATTCTGTATCACCTTCATTTTTCTGTTTTCACTTTACAAACCTGCCTTAAGTACTCTATTGCATGCTAATGCTTGCTGTATGGATATATGTCATTGACTTCTAAAGGCATAACTCTGGCCCATGACACTCTTT